CATTCGCTTAAGAGTTGGACTCAATGATCCTCGTGGGTCCCTTCTGGCTCAGAAGATTCTGTGATTCTGTGATGTGTCTTTTGGACTTTAAATCTGCTTTTTATGGATATTTTATAAAATTTTGGGTGAAGCCACCTACATTATTTAGGGAGGACAGAAGTGAATTCTTACAATTGCAGCACATATTCATCTCCCACTGGTTTTGAATTACTCCTGTGAGCAGTCTCCTTATACTTTAGTGATGACAATACCACCACCTCTTCCTGATTTATATTCTGTTTCTATATCAATTTAATTTGTTATCCTATTGACTTTCTCCTTTGAAGCTGAACATTAATCTGAAGGTTATAGAGATTTTACTAAGCCCTCCCCCCCTCCATTAGACATGTGTTCCCTCATCTGGTGCTTTCCTCAGAGGCTTATTTTTCAACATTAATAACTTCTCTTCTGGCTGAAATACTTAAAAAGGACCTGCACCATTTCCAAAAAAGGCTCCAAAAGAAGACAAAGGACTATGTACTAGCACAATCCAAGGACAAGCCATGGTTTCTTCCATAAATGATCCCACCATCAGGTTTTTGAGGAGGCTATTTGGAACTGCACAGGCAAGTCAGGGGTGTGCAGAAGGTCTCAGTGGCAGAGCTACTGTTTCTGATGTAACAATTCAGAGCACTCCAATTCTGCAGCAGGCTGGATTAAATTATTTCAGCTGGCTGGCTGGTTCTCATAGGCTGTCTATGTGACAGTCCTGCTTCCAAAAATATCACAAGTTGGATTTGAGACACTGATCTGTCTCATAAGTAATCCTTTACTATCACTAGAAGTTCCCTACTCACATAGACACGCCTGCAGTTAAAGAATTTGCAGTAGCCAGAGGAGACTGATGATTCAGAATGTTCAGATTCTCCCTTTGATTCCCATTTTCTTGTATTTCTTTTTTTTTTTCCTCAGCGGCTTTTTTAGCAGCAGCAAAAGTAAATCTCAGTTCCAAGCTGTGTGTACAGCTTGCAATATGTATCCATTTATTCAGACCCTCTTCTCACTTTCATTTTACTTCTCCTGTAGCAGATGAAGTCATTGTGTGTTTATAATCTGTCCTTGGGTTTTTGGAAGGATGGGAAGAGAAGAAATCTATTTTTTTTCATGTGTATTGGACTGTGGTCTCTTGTTTAAAAGTCTTCAGCCACTGAGTTTGTGAAAAGTGCATAACCCCAAATAATTAAGCTCCTTGACTTTCTGCCTTTGCACTGATAAGGCTGCTACAAGGCAGAGCCATAAAGTGATTGGAGGTCTCCTGCAGCACATTTTTCATTTTTATGCTGAGAAGAAAAAAGTGGTTTGGATTTTTATGACTTTGCCACATGGTAAAGTTAAAGGTTCCCATTTTCACCATGAACCTATTTAGAGGTTACCTTTATATTTTAACAAGGCAGACAGTGCCTGAACAACAGCACTCTGGTCAATTCTGCTGTTTGTACTGCTGCTGTCTGAAGGGAAAGTGGTCTTTCTCATTAAATGATACAGACTCTGAAGCATTAAATCCCCTTTTGCATGGAGGCATTAGGCAGCAGACACAAATGATTGGTGTCTTACTTGGAGACTTTGCTTAAGCCAAGATTTTCTTCTAATCGTTGTAATACAGTAGGATGCTCATGCAAAGAACAGGGAACTAAACACACTCAAGTTTGCCTCATAGGGACAAGTAAATGATTTATTTATTTAAGCATTCCAAAGCCTACCTGCCTTCCCACTTACCAGTGCCAAACATATTGATGATAATCTGATACACAGTTTTAAAGCCTTTACACTCAAACTGTTTGAATGTTTGTTCAGTTATTCTGTCTATACTAAAGTGATAATTTGGGGCTAAAAGGTAACCAGATTATTGTGGAGATCTCTCTTGACAGCCTTTAACACTTAGTTGTATGTTAAAGCCTAGAAATTACAAGCCTCTTGGTATCATTCAGACCATAGCACATTTTGAAGCAATTTGCTATGTCTGGGCTGATTTTCATGCCGTGGTCCCCCTCCAGTGCTCTCCAGCTTGCTCTGGTGCCTGCCCCCTTGCAGAACACCTTTACTAGGCAATAAGGGTCCCTAAAACAAAGTACTTCCTTAGTATGGCTGTTAGGTGGGACTTCCACATGTGTAGAGAACATTGCAGCTGGTTCAAGATATATCAGGGCTGTTTAAAAGCTTCTGCTTTGTCTGCTCCTGGATTTAATTTAGGTCTATGTGAGCCAATCTAAGTTTGCCAGTGCTGTGAGGGAGGGGTGCTGCCCTCTCCCCTGCCCTCTCCCCAGGCTCCCTTCCTCTCTCTGCAATGTGCTGACTTTAATAAGTCTTGGAGACCTCAGCGAAAACGAGGGGAGAGATGGGGATGGGATTGGAGGAAGGAGTAGTAGGAATAATCTGATTGTAACCTACTGGAATGGATCACACTGCTTGGGTAACTTCATCCTTGGGATGAAGTTTCCATGGCAAAACAGAGGTTTTGGTAAAATCCACGGTGGGTTTGTCCAACCCAACTGAGACCAGCAGTGAGGAGGCAGTGCCATGGGAGTTCAGTGTGCAATTAGCAGTCACACACTGCAACCCTGCAATGATTTTTCTCTGGTTGCTAAAGCCTAAGCCAGCAAACATTCATTGCTATTCTTACCTGCACCAGCTAAATTAAACTAATGAGCCTATGCAGTTATTTTTCTTTATCCCATCTCCTCTGACAGCATTATCCAGTGCAGAAGTGAATAGTAATTAGCAGCAACAGTCTTGAAAGCACATGTTACATTATAGAGCACACACTCTATCACGAAGTCAGCTGGCTTGTTTACAGCTTTCTCACTCCAGTTGTTGGGAACTGTAGACAATTCACCTTCTAGTGCTGAGAGCTTATCAAAGATCACTCATTTACACAGACAGCACTTGTATGGGTGGATGTACAGTCAAAGAACACCATTAGTTGCTGTCTCTCCCTGAAAATTTGCAGCCATTCTGTTCAGCATGACTGATTTGCATCTGTGCTTGTACTTTGGGAACAGTATGTGTTCTATAAATAAGACTTAGCTGTGTAGGTGTAGGTTCAAATCAGTAATTAATAGTGGACCTTACTGAAACTTACCTGTCCAGCTGCCCAAAACAGCTTTTTGAAACTTTGAAAAGCACATCCTCAAAGGACAGAACCATCTCAGCATCTGAAAAGAAGGTGTCTTTTCTAAACTCCTCAGCCTGTTGTTTGTCTGTTCTCTGTTGTCATGGGAGATGCTTCTCCACAAAGTGATTTGTCCTGTCCTAAGAGATGCATCTCTGGCTATCAGGACTGATCATCCTCTGAAGATGCTAATCCCTTCCTATTCACTGCAGGGGGAACTCACACAACTACAGGAGTCCTGCACATACTGTAGATCCAGCTGTGCCTGCCTGACTGACTGACACCAGTTTCCACTTAGTTGGGTTTTCTGCTTTTATTAAGACTTGAGGTCTCTGTTAGCAAATACCAAATATTAATAGTGCTTTGGAACTTTCAAAACCAGAAGAGCCTGCTTAAGTGTCAATATTAAACATTGCCAAACAAGGCTCTACATTTTTTCACTGTTATAGTCTAGGACCGATGAATTTATAACTTAAAAACTCTTCTAAAGACATCTGAAATGATGCTGATACATCTTATCAAGTACAATGGTATGTTTCAACTAGATTTTTGCTTTCTTGTTCAGTCAGCTTTCTGTTGTTTGAATATTGCTCTTCTGTAAACCTGAACAGCAAAGTAAAGACTTTATTTACTAAAGCATACTTAACTTTCAGCTCTTAAAGGAGCAATACTTGATATATTCACTTATCATGGAATTTAATGAAGGCAACCAGAATTCAGTTGTGTCAGACATGAGTAATTTCATGCAAAAGCTGCCACTGGCTGTATTATACATTTATGTAGCTTATAAAACAAAGCCAATGATTTCCATCAATTATAACACCATCATTTGGCAACTCTGCAATTAATTTCTTACTCTAAAATAACTGCTGTTGCTCAGTGCCAGAGAAAATGCCACACATTAACTGACTCATCACCAGAGTCTGTGATGGAGAGTACACATGTCAGGCTGATTACTCATCTTCAAGAAAATAAGTGCTTTATGATCAAAAAAATATTCTTTTTGGTATTCTGAAAGAATGGTAACAGGGATATCCATCTTATCTTTAAAAATGATCCCCACACTAATATACAGTTATTCTGAAGCATTATTTTGAGTAGTGGAGTAGAGTTGCATGCAAACCTCATGCACCTCTTCTATGTAAAAATGTTCCTACATAAGAAAAATGGAAAGATTCTGCCCTGTTTGTGCCAGAAAGTCTGCAAACTCTAGTTTACATCTTGAAAAAGTACTCCACATAAATATTTATCCAGCAGGAGTAATGGGTCATTCTGCAACAGGTATCAGGATCATGAAGTTATGGTCTTTCTTGGGACATTTATGGACGTGTATTCAAAACACGAGTTCCAATTCTGCCAGGGATTACTTGTGCAGTCAGCTTTATTTCTTGAGCAGAGTTCTGTGGAACCACCTCTGAAATTAAGTATCTCCTTATTTTTGCATGAATCAAAGGCAGGATGATACTCAGTGTAGAGTGTTACACACCAGTGTGTAGCAAAACCAGCACTTCCATACGAATTGAGGCACTTCCAGTATTACTTTGTGGTTAATCTCGTATTTGTGTTTACAAGAGACATAAAGGACCCATCAGAAGAGACTTGATTACTTTGTAAGTAGCACAGATGAGAATAGAGGGCGTCTCTGCATACAATAAACATGGCACTTTCATTTTTAGATACAAATCACACCACTTGCAGTGCAGGGGCGAGGGAAAAAAACCCTAATTCCCCGATTTTCAGGATGGATGCAGGGAAACCATTTTTTACGGCGACAAATTAAATTTGCAAATACCTTCAGGCAGAAATGGAAAGCGAGTAATTCATACTGGTACCTCCCAGGAGGGTGACCTACCTCCCCAGAGAAGGCCTGTCCGTTGAGGAGGTGCTCTGATCCCTGGCTGTCCTCGCTCCCAAAGTGTAACCGGATTTCCTCCAGGCGGTGACTGTACGTCATCGGCCCTCCAGAGATGTTGACCAAATGCTCTTTGTCTAATCGTAGAGATACGTGTCTCCCTGTGTTATACATTGTCCCACTGACCTAAAACGGGTGGTGGAAAAAGGAAAAAAAGGCATTTTTAAAGAAATAATCTGCAAATCTTAGAAACTGGTTGTACGTACTTGAGGATTTTGCTCTTCTCACACCTTCGTTCAAATGTAACAACACATCTTGTTTGGAGAGGAAATAACCGACTTGAGGTAACACTCCAACTTCTCCTTTCAATCTTACATTGTATATTCAAATATTTTGCTAAATCCACATGTACACATTTTAGCCAGGGGCACATTGTTAGCATGGTGAATGGGATTGTTACACTTTTAAATAAGTAAGCTTTTAGAGCACTTTTTATGCGAGGTCTGAGTAATGGCTTCATTACAAAATTGCCGCACTGAAAATGGGGACATTTCAGCTGACATAAATTATTTAAGTACACTTGAATAAATCTGGAATTTACCTCTTTTTTTCCTTCTTTTAATATTTATAACAAAGTTACCCAAAAGTAAAGGTGCTGCAAAAAGCAGAGGCATAATTATTCATTAGTAGGGAACTCTACTCCTCCTGGAGCTCCAGGTAAAAATTTTCACTGTCTTACTCTGCAAGTCTCTTTGTTTTGTTATGAATATTTTATAGGTACAATTGCCAGATCTTTTAGCCATAGCAGTACAGAATGAATTCCAATTTGATCATATGTGTCTAGTTCCTACTACACCTCCAAAAGCTGTAATGCTCCCTGAGAGTCATCTTTATTTTTAAAAAGACTGAATGTTGTGCTTCATTTGCAAACTGATTTACAGCTGCTGTAATGAAAAAGAAAATGATGGTGGAAATTTTTCATATGGAATATAATTCTATCATGATTTCCACTGTCATAGGAAAGTTTCTAGATCAAGAAGTTGCTTAATTTATGCCATTAGAAAGTAAAATATGCCAGTTTGAGTTAAAGCAGAACTATGATTTATTTAAAAACATTCTGCATGGATACAAATGTACACTTGAATAAGATCCATTTAATTTAAGAAGTGAAAGCATAGGAATAATATGCTTTGTTGCACTTCAATTTAAAATTAAAGACATGACTATTATGTATTATATCTCATACTACATCAGTACTATAGTAATTAACATTGCTGCAGTGTCATTTTCTCTGTAATACTAATTACTGAGTTTAAATGACCTGTTTTCTTGCACAGTATGTTGTAAAAAGTTGCACTGAACAGACTGTGCACTAGAACTAAATGGATGAGATTAAACAGCTTTTGATTGTTGTGGTTCTTTACACTTTGATACAGATGTTCTTTTTTTTTGGTGTTTATTCCAATTCAAAATAAGCAGTAATAAATTTCCTACAAGAAGTAATAAACACAAATATTCCTACTCATCGCAAAAACCCACAATGATTTTATTTATAAATGCTCCTTAGTTTTTCTGCTTGACTTGGCATGCATAATAATTAAATACCAAGTTTAACTTAATAGGTGGAAGAAGGTCAGTTTACTGAATTCAGTTTCAGCACACTGCATATGAATGACACAAAATTGCTAATCATAAGTAACAAATGTAGTTTAAAAACAAATGGGGGAAACGGTTAGAGCCTCTTACTCACATTTGGAAGCTCATGCTTCACTGAACCCTCAGTTAAATTTAACAGCTATGCAAAATATGCAGAATCCATTTCCTTACTTAAATTGGTACAAATCTCAAATGAGGTTGCCGTTATTTTCTCTCTCGAGGTAAAAGTGACCCAAATAACCCCTAATATGAATCAAATAACTCCGCACAGAGCAGAGAAGGGAAATGATGAGAGGCAAATTCATGAACAGGAGTAACATTTGTCTTTCTCATTTCCCCCCTCATAAAAATGCAGTGCTTGTAATGAGATGATATTGACTGTTTCAAAACAGAATTTCCCCACACGGCTGCAGATGGAGAATACCAGGAATGCAGTGAAGCATCTGACATTCCTCATTTCTGGCCTGTGGGGAGGGATGAACACTGGAAGTGAGACTATGAAATTCTCCTTCCTGGGCACACAGACTGGACAGCAGGCAGGGCAAACCCCGAGATCTTCAATACAAAAAATACAAGGCCTTGCCCTTTTATGTGCCTTCTTAGGTGTAAGTGAAACACTGGTTTTCTTGTTGTGAGGGTGTGCCCAAGGGAAGAGTAGCTGCACAAACCACCTGAGATCCAGCACCAACCTTCAGGACATGTCCATGTCTTGAGGGTATCAACATGTACCACCATCACCAGCAACTTTCAGTGGGCACTTCTTTTATGGGCACTTGATTCCTACAGGAAGTGGTGTCTTATATTTTCCATCTACTCAGATTACATCTGAATGAAAAGACTGAAATATTTAGGAACTTTTTTTATTTCCTGGAGACTGTGACTTGCCCAGGCTCCACAGCTGATGGCCCACCATAACACCACATGAATTTGTTTATTGTAGTGCAGGATATTGTCTGGTTTATATACAAAACCAATGTCTTATCACCTTCAGAGGTGAACATTTCAAGCGTAACCATTTACAGTTAGCACATAGAATCACACAAGTGTGTTCATCCTCAGCATCCATAAATGCATTTTCCACAGTAAATACTATTCCTCTTCCCTATGCACAGTTTTAACTGCTACTGCAGGAAAATGAGCTTCTGATCTTGTTCCCTATGTGAACTTACTGCTAAGAGAAGGATTCTCCATATTTATGGTACTGAGCCTTTAAAGGGATGGTGCACTGTCATTCTGCACTCTCAGCTGAGTTGGTTTTGAGGAAAGCAAAGCTGCAAGTCTAGAATGTCACAGTTGCAGGGGTTACTGAGATATTTTCTGCATGTTGCACATTCCCCTAAAAAATAAACAGTATGAAGGCTGGGCACCTTATGGGAAAGAGGTTGCCTCTGCCTGGAACAGTCAACAGTATCTGCTACGCCAGAAAGCACAGTATTTATTTTTTATATGTGGAGACCGGATAAAATGTTACAGGGTGGGTTAAAAAGCTCACATAAAAGATCTGTTAAGAGCTATATAACTATTTCCTTAATGTGCCAGACTAATCTCAGGTGCTCAGTCCTTCAGTGTGATGGGCTTTGTGCCACTTCTTGCTCTGCTGTGAAGTAACTGTTTTGTTCTGTGTGAGTTTGACTTGAAAATTATATAAAGATGGAAACCCAACAAACAAATCTGGGGGGGTGGGGAACAGCACTAAATCTTGACCTCTTGTTTTTAAAAAAAGATTTTAAAAAAATATCTTATGCGCTAGAAATGAGACTGCAGTAAAGAAAACATATTAAAACATCCATAAAGCTGGTTTGAGAAAACTGCAAAGTCTAAAATCATCAAAGTTAATGATCAGACCACATTCTCAGTTGACCCCATTTTTCCTCATAGATTTAGAAAAATTTTCATACAGGTAATTTTACCTGTGGCAAAATCCCTGAGTAGAAGGGAGCACAGCACGTTCATGGGCTTCACCCTTAATTATGGAACAGTTCAACTCTGGTAGACTTTAATTAATTTATTAGCATATTCCTGATGTAGTTATTTTCTATTTAATCTCATTACTTTTAATTCTTGCTTCACAGATCTTCGTACACATTATTCTCTCCCTTTATCTTGATGCAAGGCATCCACACAGGCACATGCTGCTGATACATTCTAGACTACATTTCTCAGTGAGATCTGAATCCTCCTGTGGTATAACTTGCTGGTTCTGTGTCCACAAAAAAGTCCCAGTTCTGCCCTTTGAAAGGTGGAACACAAGCAAAGTCAGTGCATACATAAGAAACACAAACTCTTGAAACTTTACAGATCTTTATGACCGTTAGGGAAAAAAGTAAAAAAACCTCAACAAAAAAAAATCCCAAACCAAATTAAACAAAAAAAAAAAGCCCCACTAAAAACAATCCTGAAAATATTTTTTCCCAGTGATGTTCTTTAACCCTGCATTTGTGGAAGCATTTTTGTTTTGTCCTAGTTAACTGTATATCCTGTTCCCTTCATCTTTTTTTCCCCCCACAAATAGTCCTGAACTAAGTATTTTGCAGAGCTTCCTTTGTGTCCTACATCTTTATGTTACAGTCTGCTTTAGAATAGCCTTCAAAACCCCAAGCAGTAGAAAAAGAAGCCTGTTTCAGGGTGAAGCCATGCTAGAAATGTAAGCAGGGAATGCAAGAGGAAAAGGGAAGGAATGGGGATGGATCCTTTGCCTTTCTGTCCCATGCCACGCCTGCAGTTCACTGTCACCTTTCTTCAAGGCTCTTTGCTTCCTGGGGCCTTTACAAATAGTGCAGTAACACATTTGGGATTTTTTTTCAAGTAAGAGTGGCCTAAAGATTAGTTCCAAGAACGTTTTTAAACTTGTGTCAGTACCTGCCAGTGGAGCAGCACTGAATGTAAGGGAGCAAGAAAATCAATTGTGTGTGGCTGCCTGCTCTGGTGTCCTTGGATCTTATCTGCAATATTAGATGTTCCTTTCTTTAGGAGGAAAATATAGTCCAGTGAAGGCCTAGTGCTGTGGAGGGAAGAAAATCACCAAGAACTGAGTTGAAGGAGTCATTGTGCCCCAGTTTCATGCCCTGCAATAACCAATTTTTGATCATCTGCCAACTGGCTTCCACTGTTTCCTCCTGGAGTCCAGCAGAAAAAATGCAAAAACAAATGTATATTTGTTTTTTGTCTCTCTGGGGTAAGTCAACATCACTGCCAAGTTGGTTTATTTTCTTCCTGATACTTAGGTAGGATCTTCCAATGGAGAATTTCACCCTCCAGCTCAGGCCACTTGAACTTGGGTTTCTCCACATAGTAATAAACTGAATCATTTGTTTCTAAGTCCCTCAAGCAAGTTCCTTTCGTTTACCTTTTTGGTTTTTTTGATGGTTGTTCACAGTATCTTGACCAGACCATATTCTGTGATATAAAAGACTGTCCTCCTTGATTTAAATCGACTGGACTGGAGTAAGTACCTTCATCTCCCTTGTGCAAAGCTGAGACTGCTCCAGAGTTTGAAAACAGTTTACAAGGACTTCAGGGCAGGGCTTCTG